ACGCACGCACGCACACAGGCACAGGAATCTGTATACATCAGTTGATTGACGGTTGAGAGGCGGGACCAAAGAGCCAGAGCTCAACCCCCGCAAGAACAACTAGGTGAGTGCACACACACACAAACGTGTATTTTCAAAATTGTTTTCGTACCGAAAGAGCACCTTTGAGTCCACAGATTTAGCTTTTCATTCAATAAAATAAAAAATTTTCATTGTCATTCATGGTTGGGAGGCCGCAGGTGATGGGCGACGACACACACACACACACACACACACACACACACACACACACACACACACACACACACACACACACACACACACACACACACACACAAGCAGCAGGCGCGAGGAAGGAGCGCAGGGAGAGAGAAAGGAATCAGGGAGCCACACCCCCGATCCCTACAATCCCAGAGGGAAACGGGGAACCCTCCTCAAACAGTGCATTAGCCACAGGGAGTGCGGCACCACCTCCTCATTCCACCCAACAGACACCCTACCTGCCCCAACCCCTGTCAGCCCCCCACTAAGTACCCACCTAAGGCACCCCTCTCCTCCCACTCACCCCCCTCCTCCCACTCCCCCCTCCCCCCAGGACCTCCCTTCTCCCCCATCCCCCAAGCCCTCCCTTCTCCCACATGCCCTTCCGTCCCTCCCACCCACAAGCCCTCCATTCTCCCCCACCCCCCTAGCTCCCCACTCTCCCCCACCCCACCTAAGCCTTCCCCTCTCCACCACTCCCCAAAACCCTCCCCTCTTCCTCAACCACCACAGCCATCCCTTTCCCCCCACCCCCCCCCAAGCCCTCCCCACTTTATTGCCCCCCCAAAACCCACCCCCCCCAACCCTCCCCCCCTCACCCACTCCCCCCCTACCCTCCCCCTCCCCCCCTCACCCACTCACCCTACCCTCCCCCTCCCCCCTCACCCACTCCCCCTACCCTCCCCCTCCCCCCCTCACCCACTCCCCTACCCTCCCCCTCCCCCCTACCCCCCCAAGCCCTTCCTCCTCCACCAGTCTCCCCATACCAGATCCTCCCAGCTCCCGCTCACCCCAGACCCCACAGGTCCTCCCCAGAGGAGAAGCAGAAGAGAGTTAGTTTCAGGGCAATGTACTCGAACATAGATGGGATCACAAGCAAGGCAAGTGAACTAAGGGAAAGAGCACAAGAAGTGAACCCAGATGTAATTGGACTCACTGAAACAAAACTCTCTGGAATCATAACGAATGCCGTGTTTCCCCAGGAGTACACAATAATAAGGAAAGAGAGGGAAGGTAGGGGAGGAGGAGGAGTGGCCCTACTCATGAGAAAGGAATGGAGTTTTAAGGAGATGGCTATCCCGGGCTGTGAGGGTTTCAGAGACTACGTAGCAGGCACCATGACAATGGGAGGACCAAGGATAGTAGTAGCAGTAATATATAATCCTCCACCAAATGACAAAAGACCCAGTCAAGAGTACGAAAGCAACAACATGGCAGTTAACACTATAATTGAGAGGGCAACCTCTTCTGCCTGTAGAAATAGATCCCACCTGCTCATCATGGGGGACTTCACTCACGGCAGGATTGATTGGGAGAACAAGGAACCGCATGGAGGCGAGGATACGTGGAGAGCCAAACTACTGGAGGTGGCGACTAGAAACTTCTTAACCCAGCATGTCAGTGAACCCACAAGGATGAGAGGAAACGACGAACCAGCGAGACTCGACCTGGTTTTCACCCTGAACGACTCTGACATAAGAGAAATCAGTTTTGAGGACCCAGTAGGAATGAGCGACCACAGTGTATTGGTGTTTGAGTACCTGATTGAAGAAGGGTTATTGAACTCGAGAAGGGATACCGAAACCAAAAGGTTAGCATACCGAAAGGGAAACTATGAGGAGATAAGAAAATGCCTAGCAGATATAGCATGGGAAACAGAGCTCAAGGAAAAGACGGCCCAAGATATGATGGAATACATCACGCAAAAATGCAAGGATGCAGCAAACAAGTTTGTCCCAGTCCAAAAGGAAAAACAGTGAAATGAAGATGAGAAACCCATGGTTTAATCAGAGATGTAGGCTAGCTAAGCAGCAAAGTAAAAGGGCATGGAGAAACTATAGGAATAACAGGACACTGGAGAGCAGAGAAAGATACCAGAATGCCAGGAATGAATATGTTAGGATGAGAAGAGAGGCAGAAAGACAATACGAAAATGACATCGCAAGCAAGGCAAAGACTCTGCCTAAATTGCTGCATAGCCACATCAGGAGAAAAACAACAGTAAAGGAACAAGTTATGAAATTAAGGTTAGGGGCAGAAGGATTCACTACAAACGACAAGGAAGTGTGTGAGGAACTGAATAAGAAATTCCAGGAGGTCTTCACCTTGGAGCAAGGAGAAATCCCAGAGATAAGAGAGGGAATAGCTAACCAGGAACCACTGGAAGAGTTTGAGATTACCAGCGGGGAAGTAAGGAAGTGTTTACTAGAATTGGATGTGACAAAGGCTATAGGTCCAGATGGAATCTCCCCTTGGATACTAAAGGAAGGAGCAGAAGAACTGTGCCTCCCGCTCTCCATGGTGTATAACAAATCACTGGCAACAGGGGAACTGCCAGAAATTTGGAAAGCAGCTAACGTAGTCCCGATATACAAGAAAGGGGATAGACAGGAGGCACTGAATTACAGACCAGTGTCCCTAACCTGCATACCATGCAAGTTGATGGAGAAGATTGTGCGAAGAAAGCTAGTGGAACATCTGGAGCGAAAGAACTTTGTAACACAGCATCAACATGGATTCAGGGATGGCAGGTCCTGCCTCACAGGGTTACTTGAATTCTACGACCAGGCAACAAAAATAAGGCAAGAAAGAGAAGGGTGGGCAGACTGCATATTTTTGGATTGTCAGAAAGCCTTTGACACAGTGCCACACAAGAGGCTAGTGAAAAAACTGGAGATGCAGGCTGGAGTGAAAGGGAAGGTACTCCGTTGGATACAGGAGTACCTAAGTAACAGGAGACAACGAGTCAGTGTGAGGGGTGAGGTCTCAGATTGGCGAGACGTTACGAGTGGAGTACCGCAGGGGTCAGTCCTTGGACCTATACTGTTTCTGATATATGTAAATGATCTTCCAGAGGGTATAGAATCGTTTCTCTCAATGTTTGCCGATGATGTAAAAATTATGAGGAGGATTGAAACTGAGGACGATAGTAGGAGGCTACAAGATGACCTAGACAGACTGAGTGAATGGTCCAACAAATGGCTGTTGAAGTTCAACCCGAGTAAATGCAAAGTAATGAAACTAGGTGGTGGAAATAGGAGGCCAAACACAGGATACAGAATAGGAGATGAAGTACTTAATGAAACGAACAGAGAGAAAGATCTAGGAGTTGATATCACACCAAACCTGTCTCCTGAAGCCCACATAAAAAGAATAACGTCTGCGTCATATGCGAGGCTGGCTAACATCAGAACAGCGTTCAGGAACCTGTGTAAGGAATCATTCAGAATCTTGTACACCACATATGTAAGACCAATCCTGGAGTATGCGGCCCCAGCATGGAGCCCGTACCTTGTCAAGCACAAGACGAAGCTGGAAAAAGTCCAAAGGTATGCCACTAGACTAGTCCCAGAACTAAGAGGCATGAGTTACGAGGAAAGGCTGCGGGAAATGCACCTTACGACACTGGAAGACAGAAGGGTAAGGGGAGACATGATCACAACCTACAAAATCCTCAGAGGAATCGACCGGGTAAACAAGGATAAACTATTCAACACTGGTGGGACGCGAACAAGGGGACACAGGTGGAAACTGAGTACTCACATGAGCCACAGAGACGTTAGAAGGAACTTTTTTTTGTGTCAGAGTAGTTAACGGATGGAATGCATTAGGCAGTGATGTGGTGGAGGCTGACTCCATACACAGTTTTAAATGTAGATATGATAGAGCCCAGTAGGCTCAGGAATCTGTACACCAGTTGATTGACAGTTGAGAGGCGGGACCAAAGAGCCAAAGCTCAACCCCCGCAAGCACAAATAGGTGAGTACAAATAGGTGAGTACACACACACACACACACAAACACACACAATAGTCAGAGGTGTTTGGGCAACATCTCGTTTACGGCGCGATTTGTCTCAACCAGTCGTTTCCTGTATTAATGGGCGACGCTCGCATTCACTCATGCCTTAATTCATGGCTGACTCATTTTGATCACAGACCCCAGCATGGGTACTCACCCCCTACTGTCGTGTCTAGGACTCGTCGAGGGTACTCACTTACTCACCAAACCCCCCCCTCTCCTTGACTCATCTACTCTCGAGTCCTGACCCCAGCAAGGGTACTCATCACCCCTGACTCATCTACTCTCGTGTACTGACCCCAGCAAGGGTACTCATCACCCCTGACTCATCTACTCTCGTGTACTGACCCCAGCAAGGGTACTCATCACCCCTGACTCATCTACTCTCGAGTCCTGACCCCAGCAAGGGTACTCATCACCCCTGACTCATCTACTCTCGTGTACTGACCCCAGCAAGGGTACTCATCACCCCTGACTCATCTACTCTCGTGTCCTGGCCCCAGCAAGGGTACTCATCACCCCTGACTCATCTACTCTCGTGTCTTGACCCCAGCAAGGGTACTCACCCCCCCTGACTCATCTACTCTCGTGTCTTGACCCCAGCAAGGGTACTCACCCCCCTGACTCATCTACTCTCGTGTACTGACCCCAGCAAGGGTACTCATCCGTAACTCACTCACTGTCCTCTCCAATGCGTCAGGAGTCATAAGCATGAGACGACCGACAATTCAAAAGCCGAGGCCCAAGAGCTGAGACTCTCAGTATTTGCATGCTCTGTAAGGTAAGTGTCAGAGGTGATGCTGCCCCAAAAAATAGGCAGATGCTGCCCCAAAAAAATAGGCAGATGCTGCCCCAAAAAAATAGGCAGATGCTGCCAAAAAAAAATAGGCAGATGCTGCTACATCTCCACCAAGTATCTTACATACGTCTTGGACTCACCTAAGTGTATCTCCTGGTCGTTCTTGTACCACTTGACCTCGGCGACGGGCTTGGCGTCCTCCACCTTACACTCGAGGGTGACCTCCTCTCCCTCGCTCACCTCCAGGATGTCGTCAGGTCGTCGCCCAACCAGTTCCACGGACGAGGGCGCCACTGTGGGAGAAGACAACGTGGGTGAGGTATACATATGGATGAGGTATACACACACACACACACACACACACACACACACCACACACACACACACACACACACACACACACACACACACACACACACACACATATATATATATATATATATATATATATATATATATATATATATATATATATATCTAGGTCCCCCTACAAGGTCGAACTACTGACCCAGGATGCAACTGCACAACAGCTGACTACCTCCTGGGTAGCTATTCACGGCTAGGTGAGCAGAAGCATTAGGGGATAGGAAAGGTGCTCAACCCCTTCTGTTCGAACCGGTATTCGAGCCCGGGATTCCCGATTGTGTAGTCGAGAATGAACCCAACTGTGTTTCTTGTATGTGAAATTGGAGTTCATTTGGGATTTTGAAGTGAATTAGGAGTATAGTTACCATAAATTGGTGAGAAATCTTACTATAATTCGAAGCTTCATGAGGACACTTTTTATTAGAATGTGTATTTACTATTTAAGTCTGCAGAATCGAGCTATTAGCTCTTGGACCCCGCTTTTCTAACCAGTCTATTTTTCCTCTATTATATCTACTACATATATTTGTCTCTAACACACACACACACACATACATCCCCAGGAAGCACAACCCGTAACAACTGTCTAACTCCCAAGTACCTATTTACTCCTAGGTGAACAAGTGTATCAGGGTGAAAGAAACTCTGCGCAATAGTTTCCGCCTCCGCCGGGAAGGATGAACCACATTTCCCCCAGTCTCGCCTGTTTATAACAATCTAGAGAAAATCTTCAGAGCGACAGAAACCCATTATAAGACAGCCATAACCGGGCTGTGGTGGGTATGTGGGCCTGCGGGCCGCTGCAAGCAACAGCCTACTGGACCAAACTCTCACAAGTCAAGCTTGGCCTCGGGCCAGGCTTGGGAAGTAGAAGAACTCCCAGAACCCCATCAACCAGGTATCAAGCAACCAGTTTAAGCCAGGTAAAGAAAACAACTCACACGCACACACACAGATGTCTATGTGAGAGGAGTTAACTACAGGCGTGACTGGTTCGAACAGGGTTCGAACTGGCGTGACGGGTTCGAACAGGTGTTCGTTTGACATGATTACATCGAGTGTTCTAATAATGGAGGCGATATATGACTGCGAACCATCAATTGAAAGAGACGTGTTCATTACAGGTGGCAGGTAGGAAATGAGTGTTGGGAGGGAGGGGGAGTGGAAAGGGGGGAGAAGAGGGGAAGTGGAAAGGGGGGAGAAGAGGGGGGAATGAATAGTAGTTAGGGGGGGTAACAGGGGAAGGGAGAGGGAGAGGGGGGGATAGGAAGAGAGGACGAATCTAATAAGCCTCGTTAATTATGATCATTGACGTATGTTTTTTGACATGTGATTTGAACAACTCTTCATTATAAGTTCCATAAAAATACGTTTGGAATGTTGAAGATTTTTGAAGACGAAACATTTCTTCGCACATAACCTGGAGACCAGCAGTGAATTGAAATACTTGAAGGAAAGGAACTTGAGGAAAAAGCGCCAAGCCATTACGACTATATAGCACTTGGAAGGGGTCAGGATAAGGATTTGGGATGTTACGGGGGAAGGGGAGAAGGAATGGTGCCCAACCACTTATGGACGGTCGGGGATTGAACGCCGACCTGCATGAAGCGAAACCGTCGCTCTTCTGTCCAGCCCAATCAGTCGGGCCGACTAGCCTTCTATTAGTGTTGCAGGACAACACAAGAGCCACCACACCAGTCCCCTACAGTATTGCACAGCAACACAAGAGTCGCAGTACCAAAACTCGCCACGGCCTGCAGCCGACTGCTACATGAAAAAACATTTACTGGCAAATAACTACCTCAATAGATACATATAAAAATATTCGAACAGTGTTACATTCTCACTGTCAGAACACCGTCGAGGACTCCACTGTGTCAGAACACCGTCGACGACTCCACTGTGTCAGAACACCGTCGAGGACTCCACTGTGTCAGAACACCGTCGAGGACTCCACTGTGTCAGAACACCGTCGAGGACTCCACTGTGTCAGAACACCGTCGAGGACTCAACTGTGTCAGAACACCGTCGAGGACTCCACTGTGTCAGAACACCGTCGAGGACTCCACTGTGTCAGAACACCGTCGAGGACTCCACTGTGTCAGAACACCGTCGAGGACTCCACTGTGTCAGAACACCGGTGGAACACAGTGCTTCACACTAATACAAGCTGAGCACCGTCAGTGTTCTACATTAACATCAGTGTTCACTGTTTTATTGTTCCACGTTCGTCTCAACATTCAATGAACCGTTCCATGTCCCCATTGAACATAGTGATTCTTGCGAATGAACACCCAGACTAGATCTTTGTACCTGGTTGATACCTGGTTGATGGGGTTCTGGGTGTTCTTCTACTCCCCAATCCCGGCCCGAGCCCAGGCTTGACTTGTGAGAGCTTGGTCCAACAGGCTCTTGTTGCTTGGAGCGGCCTGCAGGTCCACATATCCACCAGAGCCCGGTTGGTCTGGCGCTTCCTGAAGAAAGGTGCCATCCAACAGTCTGATTGACCAGATCGCCAACTAGGAGACCTGGTCAGGGACCGGGCCGCGGGAGCACATTGAACCTCGGAATCACCACAAGGTATGCAGAATACTCTTTCTCACTTCACTATTTACCTTTTAACACCCTTTCCATCTGTTCCTCCTTCTCTCTCCGTCCTCCAACTTTCCCATCCTCAACCCCTCTCCAGGTTCCCAAGGACGACCTCCAGCCTCCAGCGGCAGTTACTGTAGGGTGAGGTGCTCCGCCTTCTAGCTGACCTCCCGCTCTGGCAATTAAAGCCGTCCGGAGAGAAGTGGGACAAAAGTTTCCTAATTAATAGCTGGTAGGTATTATGTGGAGGTGATAAAAATTAGAATTCCACATGAAACTCTGGGTCTGGGGGTGTGTTGGTGGGTCCGTGGGCGTGCTGGTGGGTCCGTGGGCGTGCTGGTGGGTCCGTGGGCGTGCTGGTGGGTCCGTGGGCGTGCTGGTGGGTCCGTGGGCGTGCTGGGTTTCTCCGGTGGGTGGGCAAGTATAACACCTTCCCACATTAAACAAGATGCAGTTGGCCATATAATAATAAGGAGTTTGACGGCCGTCAAATATATATATATATATATATATATATATATATATATATATATATATATATATATATATATATATATATATATATATATATGTATATATGTCGTACCTAGTAGCCAGAACGCACTTCTCAGCCCACTATGCAAGGCCCAATTTGCCTAATAAGCCAAGTTTTCATGAATTAATGTTTTTTCGACTACCTAACCTACCTAACCTAACCTAACCTAACTTTTTCGGCTACCTAACCTAACCTAACCTACAAAGATAGGTTAGGTTAGGTTAGGTAGGGTTGGTTAGGTTCGGTCATATATCTACGTTAATTTTAACTCCAATAAAAAAAAATTGACCTTATACCTAATGAAATGGGTAGCTTTATCATTTCATAAGAAAAAAATTAGAGAAAATATATTAATTCAGGAAAACTTGGCTAAAATTAACCACGAAAATTAACACGTAACACGAAAACATATATGTAATATATAAATTATACGTTACTGAGTCATTTTAATCAAGCGTTAAACGACAGGAGAATAAAATGTGTTCAACTTTATCCAGTATGGTGTAGGTCGTGCCTTGCGTGTCTTGTAAATAAAATGCTATCACATTGGCGTCCACAGCATATAGCTTGTGGATAAGGTTAGAGTTAAATGTAGTCTAGGAAATGCAGCAGAAGCCTGGAGGAAGCTGTACCGGAGATAGCGTTTTATGTTATCTAGCTGGACTCTGAGGTCTGGTTCCGTCTCATTGGGTGAGGTCCGGTTGTGTGTTTGTAGTGTGGGAATGTGTAAGCATTGTCTCGTAAGGTATAGTTGGGAATGAGAGTACTGTCTTAATACTATACGATATCAAAACAGCTTGGTATCAATACTATACGATATCAAAACTGCTTGGTATCAATACTATGCGATATCAAAACGGTTGGCTCGGTATATTTGGTGAGAACTACCTACGTATATCTGACGGTTCTGGATTATATATATATATATATATATATATAATATATATATATATATATATATATATATATATATATATATGAGACCGGCTCCTCGGCCGACCGGGGAGCTGGTCGGCCGAGCGGACAGCACGCTGGACTTGTGATCCTGTGGTCCTGGGTTCGATCCCAGGCGCCGGAGAGAAACAATGGGCAGAGTTTCTTTCACCCTATGCCCCTGTTACCTAGCAGTAAAATAGGTACCTGGGTGTTAGTCAGTTGTCACGGGCTGCTTCCTGGGGGTGGAGGCCTGGTCGAGGACCGGGCCGCGGGGACACTAAAGCCCCGAAATCATCTCAAGATAACCTCAATATATATATATATATATATATATATATATATATATATATATATATATATATATATATATATATATATATGTCGTACCTAGTAGCCAGAACGCACTTCTCAGCCTACTATGCAAGGCCCGATTTGCCTAGTAAGCCAAGTTTTCATGAATTAATTGTTTTTCGACTACCTAACCAACCTAACCTAACCTAACCTAACTTTTTCGGTTACCTAACCTAACCTAACCTATAAAGATAGGTTAGGTTAGGTTAGGTAGGGTTGGTTAGGTTCGGTCATATATCTACGTTAATTTTAACTCCAATAAAAAAAAAATTGACCTCATACATTATGAAATGGGTAGCTTTATCATTTCATAAGAAAAAAAATAGAGAAAATATATTAATTCAGGAAAACTTAGCTTATTAGGCAAATCGGGCCTTGCATAGTAGGCCGAGAAGTGCGTTCTGGCTACTAGGTACGACATATATATATATATATATATATATATATATATATATATATATATATATATATATATATATATATATATATATATATATATATGCGAACAAGCCT